CGACGTTGCTCTTATACAGAGTTTGTCACTCCCCAGATTCAAAGGGAGCAACTAGCTCCTAAAGACAAAACTCAGGCTCGAGCCGACCCTGATGAACCATTTGCTACTAGCACATGGCAGCCACACGCAGTCAAGAAAACAAACAAGTATATCTCGGTTTAAAATTAAGCCCTCGACCGGCAAGGCCCCTATAAACAGATCCATAAAAGAAACAGCTACTCCAAAGAGTTCATATAAAGAAATATCCAACTAGCACAGAAGTCCTGATTGGGCCTTTGAGGCCACCATGATCTCTATACCGAAACTGAACGCAGGTATATCAAGGCAATGCATCACACAACTAACAAGTTTCAGTAAACCAACAAACTAGGTCAGCATGGCCATAACATAGCTATAAACCCCGCACACTAGTCTGCAAGCCTCTAAGGGTAGTAAATATTGGCGGGACAGGTCCCCAGCCTACCCATGAAAATATATACAACAAAAGCTAACAAACCTCCCAACTCTGGCAGCTCCGGAGGAAACGGGCTAGCCAACCGGATAGAAGTCAATCATGCTATTGAAGAGGTCTACTGGGTCGTCTGTCGGGACTTGCATGCATGAATGCAGAGCCCCCAGGCAATGGGGCGTCAGTACAAAATGATGTACAGAGTATGAAACACAATAAACTAAGAGCAGGTATCTTAATATACTGGAGTAATCCGGTAAATAAATCAAGAATAAGATAAGCATACTGACCTGCTCCTAATCTAAACTTATCAAAAATAATAAAATAACAACCTAACCAGGCCCCATAAGCTCGGCAGGTACAAACAACAGTCAAGACCACCTACCCAGGCCCCCATCAGCCCAGAAGGTGCCAATCAGTCTATATACCCATATCGGTAGTCCCCTAGCCCCGTATAAAGTTACATAGCCCTCTGAGGCAATAGTATATCCCCGTAGGAAGCTCATAGCTCTCTTAGGCATCAATATAGCATATAGGCAACTCATAGCCCTCTTAGGCAACAACATGGCCCCGTAGGCAATTCATAGCCCTTTTAGGCGTCAATATAGCCCTGTAGGCAACTCATAGCCCTTCTAGGCATCAATATAGCCCTGTCGGCAGAACATAACCCTTCTAGGCATAGATCACATTCTTGCAGCTAACCACAATAGCCCAAAGGGCAACAATAACAATCCAACAGCTAAAAGCGAGCAATTTAGCTATAAGCGACCTATACAAATAGCCTCTAAGTCATGTCCAACATAGGGACGCTACTGCTGAATAAGAATCCCGATAAGAGATGATTATATCCACTCGAGCAGCCTACAGTCAACAATAATGGCTACAAGTATAACAACGATAACAACTCAATTACATTGCTCCTAAGCTTTAAGGAAATATGCCGTAAGAAGAGAATAGTCTTAACATACCTTTTTCGCTAAATTCATGTGGCCTAACGACTTTTACTCATAACTCCCTCGATACTACAACAAGGTAGGACCATAATCAACACAACAAAAATAAAAGATACCATGACAATACGATAAAAGATATGTATTTCCATCGCAAATTGCTATTTGCTGCTTGTAAAAGCTAGAGTCGATGAAAGAAGGTCTTACCTCGATCTTAAGTTCGTAATACGCCTCAAAACCTTCAAATATATCCAAACCCTTGTTGTCCCAACACTAAAGTGTGATATGCTACGAAATCGATAAAATAAATTATACCACGATGATTAACCCAACGCGTAGAACAACTTTCTTCAAGGACTTAGGTTGAGAAAATATATACTTTAGTTTATCCTAGAAATGGGTTTCTCTAATTTTTCTGGTTCTTAGCTTAAAAAATGAAGAAAAGGTTCGAAGAAGAAGATATATGTAAAGTTCCACCGACCTAGGGCCCCACCTCACGTGCCTGCTTGCGCAGTCTCACGAAAATGCAAATATCTTTCTATTATGAAGTCGTATGAACAAACCGTTTGATGCGTTGGAAACTAGACCCGTAGACCTTTGATTTGATAGGTCGTGGGCTCCATAAATATTTATAGATTAGGAGAAAACCTCCGAGACATTTGACCCAAAGTTCAGAGAAATCTTTAAAAAGGAACTTACGATAACTTCCGCCAACTTTTATTTTGCCACTTACCTAACTTCAAAACTTGAGATGCAACACTTGAACACTTAAAATAGGACACACCACATCATTCTTAATTTATTACCCACCCTCCTTGTCTTTCCATGGAGATACGAGTAATTTTAGACGTTTTGAAAAGTCGGGGTGTTACATTTTGTGTTATGTATCACACACACAAAAAGGAAGAAGCTAATTTGGAACAATTAGATGTATAGTGTATTTTTTAAATTTTAAATTATAGTATTACTAAAAACAAAATAATAATGCATCATGTACTAATTTTTTAGTTATGATACGTAAATTCAAATTTATACTAAATGTATCTAATACATAGCAATTACCAAACAATAATGTATCGATCTCAAACATAAAATTTTATGGTCAACACTTTCTTATTTAATGTATCTAGTAGAAATACAACACTTATTAATTTAAATTGAAAGGATCTTCATGATGTATCTTCTCAAAATTTTCGATAATTTTGAATCAAAATTGAAAGGATCTTCAATGAACTAGGATATTAATTTTGAAACTCAAAATTTTCAACAATTTTGAATAAAAATTGAAAGGATATTCAATGAACTGGAGAAGAATTTTGAATTTCAATATTTTCGACAATAGTGAATCAAAACCGAAAGGATATTTGATGAACTTGAAGATTCACAAAAGAAATCGTTTGTCCAACAACAATTCCATCACTTTTGTATCCTTCATAACTCACCTCGCTTATCCAAAATTTCGATAAAAGTTTTTATGAAAAAGAGAGAACGATGAACAAGAAGAAGAAATTTAATTTTTGAAATTTTTGGTTTGTTACACTATACTTGACAATAATTTGGAATGAAATAGTGCAATTTATGAGATTTTAATTTGATTTTCAATTATTTGTTTTCCCTTAATTAGTGCAACAGATGCATACTATGAGATCTTAATTTGATTTTTCAGCTTTTCCCCCCCTTAATAAGTGCAACATATTGATACATGTATCAATAATAATGTATCCGAATCCTTAATTATGTATCCGAAATGCCAAAAAAACATAGGATTTGTGTAATTAAAAAATAGTAGGGATAGAAGGTAATTTAGGATTTACACTATGAGATTTATGTAAGTTATACAATTAAATTTGTTGCTGACCACCTGTTGTGTAAAAAGAAAACCATTGGGCTTTGGCCCGTTTTTCAGCCCTGAAATCTATGTATACACCGATTGTATACTGCTGTATATAGGCTGCATTTTGGCCTGTTTCTCTATATATCGGATTGTATACCAAGTGTATACAACTCATTTCAGCTCCTGCAACTTGTATTTCCTTATTTGGACCTATATATCAGCTATATATTGCTGTATATAATACGTATACAGCTCATTTTTGGACTTTTGGAACTTGTAATTCCGCTTCTATCCCCTATATATCCGCTTTCCTTTTCCTTCGACAGAGAACATATAGGCATTAGAAGCATCACTAATGCTCACCAGGTGATTCCTATACTCGTTCCAATAATTTCACCTTTACAAATTAGTACACATCTCATGCTTAGTCATATAGAGAATTGAAACATAAGGAAATTATTCACGGACTTGGATAAAATATCTTTCCAATAACATGGTGAATATTATATTTCCTAATTTCAAAACTCATAGGAGGACAAGTATGAACAAATGTTTAAAGACTTAAATATTCAAAGCAAAGTACTTACTAGCACTAATTGAAAGAAAACAGAACCAAAGGATCAAGGCGCTAGTAACTAAATTGTATATTGGACAACTAGTGAGTACAAGCAAATGCATATTAAGAAGTGATCGATTCCATAAAGAGAAAGCGCGAGCGCAACAGATGATAGGAAACCCTAGCTCATGGTAGCCAACTTAGTTGAATTAGGTCATTTGTGTAAAAAACAAAGAGATTAATATCCAACAATATAATACATGACTTTGAATTCCTATAGCTTAAGGACATCGAAATGATAACCTGGATTTATATCAAGCTAAAGAAAAAAATAAATCAAGGTTCCAGATCAAACAAGTAACAACTAAAGCCAACATAGTAAAAATTAAAGCCAACATATTATTGTAAGATATTAAAGCTAAACAAGTCCAAGCACTAGTGTCCAACATCCAATATGAATCAACACACCATAAACACAGAATCGGATACAACTTTAAATATAAGATAGCCTACGGTAATACAATACGCTCAAAAAGGCAATGAATTATTCATTCTTGGGACATGCTCACACGCTACACGAATTTAACAAAGCAAAACATGATTTGATAGCCAATAAACATAAGTTCTAAAGGAAAGGGGTAATTCGTATCCAATTTCAAATTTATCAATAGACAAAGACTTAGAGTTGACGTGATTGTCTAGGCGTATGGGTTCGCTGTACTAGAACGAGAAAGTAGGCGCGTGGGTCGCGCTTTTTATGGGTTTCAATTGATTTTGGGTTCTGGATTTCTGTTTGCTGCTGCTGCTGGAGATTTCAAGGAGAAGAAGAGTAACTGGTCAATTTTTGGGGGGGAGATTTTCTATTTTATAAGAATCCCTTAAAATATCAGTCATCCGGATACATAATTGGTTGTCCAGATACATTAATTGTGATACATTATATATGTGGTTGTTGCGCTTAAAAAGGAAAACAAAACAGAAAATCAAATTAAAATCCCATAATTTACGCTATTCAGATCCTCTTTACTGTGTCAATCAGAGAAACATAAATCCTAAAATAACAAATCAATTCAAAATTCAAAATCCCTGTGCATCTTTGTCCTTGTTTCTACGAAAAAACTTTCGAGTAGGATTCAAAACTCTTGTTGAAAATTAGATAAGATACATAATGAATATTTTGATTTCTGACTGACACTCTCGAAGGAAGAAAAAATTGAAGATCGTAGCTTTTGGGTTCTTCAAATTCTACACAAATCTCACTATGATTGACGATCAGGACCTGGGTTTCATTGCCAACTTTCTTGGTATCTTTATTTTTGTGTTGCTGATTGCTTACCATTGTGTGATGTCAGATTCCAAATATGAAGGCAATTGAAAGTTGTTATTTTATAATTAGCTTGGGCAAAAATAATTATGTTTATTTGCCATAGCTTTAATTTTCGAATTAAAAGATCTGATAACAAAAGATATGCAACATATATTCTAGTGCTTTAATCATTATTTTTTCATTCATGAATCTGTATATTGATTGATAAGTCGTGATACATTATTGATTAGAACTTGATACATTAAAACTTTGACGTATATCTTATGGGTTTGCAGATCTGTGAGTTACTGTACTGTTAATATAAAGTATCAGATACATATGAATTTCATTTTTGATTATTGAATTTGTATATGCATATATAAATCTTGATGTATTACGGATTTCAACTTGATTCAATTCTTGTTTGATGTATATGTAATGGATTTTTATAGATGTGAGTTAGGGTGTTGTTACAATAACGTATCAGATACATGTAATTTTTTTATTTTTAATGTATTGGTATATGAACTTTTTGATCGATATATGAAGGTATGTATCAATTTATAAATTATCGTGTATCTGGAGTTAGTTATCATTAAGTTGTTGTGCATCTTAAATTGAGTTAATTGATATGTGATGTATCTCTAACTTTCAAATGTGCGCAGGTTGTTCCATCCTCTAAATTTATTTACTAAGTGTCTAAAGGTGGATGAAGATACATTGTTTGCCTTGAGAGAAAATATGTAATTGTAGATTTTAGCATGACGAGATACCTGTGCGCACACAATTGTTGTTGTGAAGAGCAAAAACATCACATAGATACATCCCTGCTCTGATTACCACAAACCAACTGCATTAGCAAATACATATGAAGTTTCAATGATTTCAATGCCGGATAAGGACGATTGGTCAGTACCGAATTTTTTTTAAGAAGAAATTATCTTGCCACCTAGGTACAAAAAGATGATTGGACGACCAAGGAAAATGAGGGAAAAGATCTAGATGGAAATATAAGCACAAACACAAACATTTGTGTACGTTGTGGATAAGAATGTCACAAACGAAGTACTTGTACTTTATTTCTAAAAGAAGATTGAAAAACTCTTTTTTAGAACTATTGTTATGTTTCAGATACATTATTTTGAGATTATAAATTGTCAAATTTTTGCTTTTTTCACTTCTTCCTTGATAAAACATTACATTTTACTATTAACTAGTGAAATTCTGATACAATAAATTGAAATGTTAAGATTTTCAATCTTGTGATCATTTTTGTAACACATTATGTTTCATATACCTTTTTAAAATAATGTATGATTAGTTATTTGATAATAATGTACCAGAGATTGTGTTTGTGGAGATGGTACCACACAATATGGTTCTCATACATTTTTATATAATGTATCATGATCTAGTTGAAAATGATGTATTTGATACAATAAGGTTGTGAAAAAGTAGTATGTAAAATGAAATAAAGTGTATATGTAAGTGTATCACAATAAGTAAGAATTAATTTATCAATTAGATACATGAATGAATCAAGAACTAACTACAACTAATTATTGAATGTATCAGTGTCATGCCTCGAGGCTACCCCTGGACGTAAACACGGGACCTGGGATCACGAGTTACCCCAAGATAACCCTGAGCTGACATATCATAAGCATACCTAGAGTACAACTGAACAAAAGATACTGCGCGGAAGCTTAAAACATGAGATAAACTAAAATGATGGGGAATAACCAATCTAAGTCTGAATATATAAATACTGAGCAAGAGTTTAAGCTATTGAACTATAACTCAAATACCAAAGTTGAATTTGTCTATGTCTGAAATAAGCCTCTAACTGACTAGAGATATTGGGAGATCCTCCCAGCTAACTCTAGCAAAAACTGAAACTAAAATGAAAGACTGAATGTAAAAGAACATGTCTATCGTCCTCGAATACAGATCGGAGACCGATCTACACGTGATCTGAATGCTGAGGACCTGAACTTACATCACGAAAAGATGTAGCGCAGAGTATACGTCAGTATTTGAAAGGTACTGACCATGCAGGATAGGATAATGCCGAACAAATATATAACTGAACGAAGCATACTGAATAATGATATAATCCGAAGATACTGAGATATACTGAAAATGAACTAAACTGAATGCAATGACCAAGTACATAACATGCTAAGACTGAATACTGAAAATGTAATTGGTAACCTGGTCAATATACTAGAATCTGACTGTGGGAGCTACTATTAACCGACATAAACCCGATGTATACGCCCCATCGAGATGACCCAATATACTTTGTCAGGGGTATAGAGGCATGAATGTGGCGTGATCACTAAAATGATGCCCAACAGAGGGGACTAATAACCTACGGGGGCACATAGTTCTGGGACTATGAGAGTGACTGACCCTAGTCCAACTCGGTGTTAAGCCTACTCCCAACTGAAAATGTGTTCAATACAACATAACTGAAATATACTGGATAGCTCAATATTCTGATATGCTAACTGAAAATGCAACAATAAAGTACTAGTAATGAAACATTTGAAAACTGAGGCATTTAAATTTGTTTATTTGTCCTAGCTAGTGTAATTCATGAACTTAAGGAATCTACACCACTAGGGTTCTAAATTTCATGCAAGGAACTAAGAAACATTGTTACACAAACATGATAATCTAATTAGGAATACCTAACAGTTAAATTACAACAATTATCTAAAATTCTAGAAACCCTAGTTCTAAGCAATATTTAGGGAATCAAGATTCTGACTGAAATCTAGGGACCTAGTGAATGAAAGGAATCCACCAGTGACATCTGACATACCTGGTGACGATATTTACGGAGAAATCTTTTGATTTCGGGGCTGAAACTGGAGAAACCGCTGTGGCCTAATTTTTCCTTTTTGCTCTAAGTTTGATGATTTTTTGGTGAATGAATCGCTTAGGGTAAGTTATAACTAAGTTACTAGGCTCAAACTGACCAAAACTACATAGTTTAGGGGTTAAACGATGTAGATTAGGTGTCCAATGATGTACCGTGAGTTTACAGTACTGTTGATACGTTTCACTTAGGATTTGTGAATGTCTAGGGAATTTTTGTGTTAGTTTTATGTGTTTTTTGTTGTAATTTCAGGAAATAAACTCAGGGATGAAAAGATGAAGATCTAGCTTAGGCAAGTGCTGAAAAGAGCCACCTACGGACAGTAGGATGAGTGACGCCTCGTAGATAAGGGTTGTGGGACGACCAGGCATGGCAAGATTGAAATTCATGGAAATCTGACCAAGTGTGGAACCACGGTGGGGACTGACGGACCATCGAATGACTTACGGTCCGTCCTGCAGCTCCGTATAATTGATCAGAGGAGTGGTTCCAATACCTGAGTTGAAATAATCTAAGTATAGAGCGACGGAGGTGACTGACGGTCCGTCGTCTCACTGACAGACCGTGCTGCTAGTTCGTGGAAGCTGACTGAGATAGGTGGATTTGTGAAGATTTCAAATCGGCTAAGTATAGAGCCACGGAAGAGACCTACGGATCGTCATTCGACTTACGGACCATAGGTCAGCCTCGTGGAATAGAGACGCATCCTGCAGTTTTATTTCCTTATTTTGTTTCCCTTTTATTTTAGGATTTGTTTCTATAAATAGGGTATGTAAACCTCGTTTTTATGGGTTAGATTTTATTACTTTTATTCTAGTTCTTGACTTGGTAAATTAACTTGCAACTTTAGCAATTCTCAATTTCCTAAGTTTGTTTTGAAGATTTTGGTGTTGCAATTCAAGTTGAATTTCTGGGTTTATTATTCTTCTTACGTAAGTTCATAATTCTATCATCTAAAACAATGAATTGTGTTCATATGATTATGGGTAACTAAACTCCACAACTAGGGTTGTGGGAACCATGAGCAATTGACAAAGTTTGAATTGTCTTTTGCATGAATTGATAATTCTTTCGTTTAAAAGTCTTTTTAACGGTGCGCAACGTTAGAACTCGCATTGTTTTTACTTGCCGGACCAATTAGGTAATCAACAAGAAAAGAATTATCAACAGAGATTTAGTGTGATACTATATATCTAATAGGCTAGTGTTGATTGGTGCGAAGTAATAACTAAGCCAAACATCGATGTGATGTCTAATATGAAGTAAAGGTAAGGG